CCTTTCCTAAACAGCCAACATCCTGTATTGATGTTTACCACAAATCAAAAGAAAACGTACGGCTAGAAGATCTGTTGTGATAATTGACATGCACTTAATTTTTTTCCCAACGTCTACCACTTATTGATGGCAATGGGCTTGTTTATCGTTGCGTCAAGGATACCTTAACCTTGAGGTCGGGGCCCAATTGACCAACAGCATGATCAGATCGGGTCGGTTCGGATCGGATAGGATCGGATCGGTCAGGTAGGGTGACGTAACTGGACAGTACACACTTTGTCTAATGACCCTTATTTTCTTCGTCAGATTAGACAAGGAAGTCCATTATACAAGTCTACTAGAACCTATTTGGTGGCTCAGCGGGTAAACAAAAATCGGACGTATTAAATTAAGCCTATATGATATTGTGTTTTTCTCACCAGATATGCCAAATCGCGACCTAAAAAGCCAAACACTTGATTGTGAAGTACGTAACGAAACTGTGCCAAAAATGATAACCTTTGCCCTCCTATAAAGGAAAACTAAGCAGCTTTCAAATGTGAGGCATCCTGGTGAAATCAAACGCTCGTCAAAATTCTAAAAATCGAAGAAATCGGCATTTTTTCAAACCGTTTAGTCAATTGTTAACGAATTTCAATTTTTTCGGCTCAACTCCTTGTATGTAGATTTAAAAACACATTCTCGTGTGGATTTTTTTCCTGAAAAACTTTGACAAGAGGCAAAGAAAAGAAGTAAATTTGTAGTTCCCTATAACTCTCACAGCTGTGGAAGTCACCAAACTTTGGCGGCAATTTTCTCGCTATTTTTACCTTTGAAACTTGGCAACCCCACATCATTCAAGCGCAAATAACTCAACTTCTATTCTAAATTTTAATAGATGGGTATTTTAAAAATCGAAATCAAGACATTAAACAGGCCTCAAGGTTATACCAATAATAACTGCATTTGCCCTCAAATATCCTAGCGCCTGAGTGCGTTTGTACTCAAATATACTAACCCATATACGATTGAAATTTGACAAAACTTTTCGCATTGTGCACGGGCCATACATTTTCCCATCAACCCCCCGAAAAAAATTAAGTTTCCTGATTGGGAATTATACAACATAATAAAGAAAAACCCTGCAGGCTATCCGAATTTAAAGCGGAAAAAATACCCAACAACGTTGAAGGACGGACGAATAACAAACCCCACGCCATAAAAAGAAAGCCTTTGCCCAAGAAACAAAAATAATTTTAAGAGTTAAGGGCCTCAGCATGAAAAAAAAAACGGGAAATGAGATAAATCCGAAATCGATGACTGAGCTCAGAGGAATCGATGAACCGTTAAAGCACCAATAATCAATCCCGTTGTGGTTCATTTCTTTTGGGTTGTGAAATGGCGGCTGTAAACAAAGACGAACAAAAACGAAACAGAACAAAGGCTGTCACCCTGAC